AGATTAAAATGACATACACGAAAATTTGCACTGTATATGATATCAAGTTGGTGAGCACAAGTCATTCTACTGATTCATTAATGTCTAAGTAATGATATAGAGGCACGGACAAACGGGTCATGGCTGTTTATACTCGTGTTCATAGGCTATACATTACAAGTGCCATTTTATTATCAGTAACGGTACTTGAGCTATTTTGTTGATTTCTCATTTATTTTCATTTGTTTCCAACGCAATGACCTTTATAATTGGACACTCTAAGTTGTGTCGTTCTCACAATAACAATAGAAATTTATATTTTGGTAACGTCACTTGTGCACGTCACTTGTGCCATTTTCTTAAAACTTTTCATCTCAGTAGTGACACTGATACCGTTTTTAGGGACCTTTGAAATCCTGTAAATGCACTTGTCCGATTCTCATGGACACTTATAAATCAAATATAATGACAGTTGTGTTGTTCTCATAAATGTTTTCGACTCAGTAACGACACAAGTGTCATTGTCATAAAAAGGTATATTTACAAGCATAACAATAGTTGTAAAGTTCTTATAGACATTCTCATCTTTGTAACGACATGGGTGTTGTTCTCATAGACAAGTAAATTTACAAACATAATGACAGTTTTGCCATACTTATAGACGTTCTCATCTCAGTAACGACACAATTACTATTTTTATGGACACTTGTATTTACAAACATAACAATACATGTGTCGTTCTCATTTGAAAAGAACAAATTGAATATAAATGTACAATCAAAATCTAACAATAATCCCCTCTTTATTTTGCCATTGCTATGCTTGAAATGATCTTTCACAAGTCTTCAATTTTGTCCTAGTGTCGCATCGTCATCCTTCAAATCCCAAACTTTAAACTCGGTCACCAATGCGAACACTTGCAATCCGAATCTTGCAAGCTATGTACAAATGTGAACACACACATCTACTTGCCATCGAAGTTAAGCAAGCAACACAGATTATGCAAAGAACAGGGATATAGTGTTTTAGCTTGTTCATTTTCTAAGATTCAGATCCTTGTTAATTGTAAATATCATCTCCAAGCAAAACTATACCAAAAATTTAGAACCATTGCAATGCTCATTCCCAGTGAATAATTCTATAAGTCTGTTGAAATGCTCACTCCAATGTTCTTTGTATAATGCTCATATATCCTCATTTTTCCCATAATTCCATAAGAAATGGGCCTGCATATATGTCCCTATTTTTGCATAATGCTCATATATCCTTTATTCCAATATTCTTTGCACACGTAGGGATATAAACAGGGAAATGCTTATTCAGCAATAGATGCGTATGTTCATTCAAGGTACACATATCCCCGTTCATTCCAATTAAATCTGCTAAAATGCTCATTCCAATGCCTTTAGGGTACACATCTACTTCAATCATTGACTTAGCAAAATGCTCATTCCAATGCAATATCCTAGTGAATAAATTCCACAAGTGTGCTTATCCATAAATTTAGAACTACTCCAAGAGTTACACATAAGAAATCCATAAAACTTAATTATTGAACAGGCATCACGTGACAATTAAAAATATTGTTTAGAAAGTACATAGAACCAATAGCATGATAACTTTAGAACAAATATAGAGAAGATAACAAAATACTAAAATTCCTTTCAATTTAATCAAATACTTCAAGTGAACCGAATATAACGCATATTCAATCAATATTGAGAGATAAAGAAAGTAAAAATGGACTCACTGTCACGAATAAAAGTATTACAAAAAGAAGGTAAAAGAACTTGTAGTTCGTTCGCTTTCACCGTTGTAGTAGTTGAAACAGTTCCTAAATCTTCAAGTTCTTGAAATTTTGTCCATAAAACAATTGATTCTTCCCAATCAATTAAAGCCAACCTGACGACATGTAGTCGATTTTATTGGATTCTACAATGGACAATAAAAAAAGGAAGAAATAAAAAAAGGAAGAAAGAAGAAGGAAGAAGAAGACGTTATTTTTAATATATTGAAGAATAGGGTTTACAATGTAGAAAGAAGGGGAAATAATAGGTAAAATAAGGGGAAATTGGATGAATTTGAGTTAATAACTTAAGGACAATCATGTCATTTTACCAATTAAAACATTCTGAATTATTTATTAATTTTTAATATGAGTAAAAGGTCATTTCACCAAAATCATTCCCTAATCAGGCTAAATGGCCAAATTTCTTTTAATTAAGTTGTAAAGATCATTATATGGATTGAAATAAGTGGAAATTACATATTTCCAGGTATATGAAGAACTGAGTTCACAAGCCAGGTTGGAAAATTTTATATGCACATCTTCGGTTTCTATATCCATACGTATAGTAACTGGTGCCTTAATTATCGCAATTAGGATATCCATTAAGTTAACTTCCATAATATACCAATTCCTCTCTCTCTCTCTCAATATCTTCTGCACGATTCCAAACTACCCAAAACTTTTGCCCCACGAATCCGCTTCGATCGTTTGATTTCACATCCGGTAATTTCGAAGTCTCTCGTTTTCCATTTTGCAACTGTGTTATCAGCTTCATTCGTAGTAGTATATAATCTATTCAAGTAGTTTTTGCCCAATTTTTTTGCTTGGGATCAACAAGCGAAGTGAAATGGAGGAATCGAAGGGCGCAAAACCGGTTACTAATGTCAAAGACATGTCAAAACGAACAAAAAAGAGGAAATCTGAGCAGAGCCCCAAAAGAACCTCACCTAAGAAGCACGTCGTTTCGGTGTCCGCGAGAAAAGTGCGATCAAACAAGGTTTTTTAAATTTCTGGTGTATGCGTTCTGACTTTAGTGGCACACATGTTGGTGGAATCATGGGTTTAGCACTATTGAACATTAATTTGACATCTGTAAACTTAATCTGTTGTAATCATAGGATTAAAGTTTTGTCACCTCATTGTGTGTGAAAAACATGTGTGCTAAAATGTGTTTTGTTTACCCCGTCGATGAACATGACCATCATCAACAATGAAGGTTCATGTGATGAATATGTCAATCTGTGACCGAGACAAATATGAATTTGTGGCCTTAATCAATGGATGACATTATGCATGTACTGAACTAATTGTTAACGTAATTGTTGAAGAGTTTTATGTGACCATGAGCTCCAATTTGTGACTACATTTTTTAACACACTTATGGCGTGTGACCATGATATCCGTCGGTCACTAAGGTGGTTGTGTATACGAGGCTTGAATTCATATTATTACGCATGCCTGCGACCATGTTATTATTGTCTTACGACACTGTGAATATGTTTTGTGGCTTGAGTACACGGTTACATATATATGTGACCCTTTCAAAATAATCAGTTTTCTAGGCTGACTGTGTGATTTGACTACGTTTGTGTGTGAACAACATGTGTACTGAAATGAGTTTTTATTACACCATCTGTGAACATGACCATTATCAACATGACCATGTGACCAATATGTGAATATGTGACCGAGACAATTATGAATTTGTGCCTTTAATGGATGACATAGTGCATGCATGTGACCTGATTGATAACATAGTTATTGAATAGTTTTATGTGACCATGATATCGAATTATGAATATGTTTTTGTGGTCTAAGTGCACAGTTGCATACATATGTGACCTGTACAAAACAATTTGTTTCAGGCTAACTGTACAGGTGCATGCATATCTAAGTGTTTGTGCTTTCACTACATTTGCTTAACATTACATCATTCTAAAAACTTCGTGTAGGCCTGGCAATTCATCATTCCAGAGGAATAGTGGTTCCCAGGTAAGATTACAACATCAGTGACCAAGGGTGTCTTGAAAAGTATACAAACAAACTTAACCAACCATTAGAAGCAAATCATGAGGAGAACCTGCTTCGCACATTTCCTCGACTGCGATGAAATTGTGGTACAACCACAGCTAATTCACTTTTTCCTATTGAGGCAGGTATATCAACCCAATCCTGAAGAATTGTGGTTTTTAGTTGCCGGCCGATATGTAAGATTTTCTATAGCTGAGTTTTGTCTGGTCACGGGATTGAGATGTTCTGGCAATAGTGACATCAGTATTTTTGAAATTAGACCGTCACAATTGAAGACAAAATACTTTTCTCAGGTAGGTAGTGTAACACATGAAGATGTGAAGTCCACATTTATATCTGCCTGCCAAATGCCGGACTTAGATCTTGTCGAAGCCCTCCCTGATCATGATGTTGCACTGATTAGTATCCTCCATTTTATTACTGCCTATTTGTTTCCTAGAGATTATAAGAAAGTTGTCGATCACTATTTGTTCACACTCGTTGAAGACTTCCCTGAACTGAATAGTTTTCCGTGGGGAAAGTTACTGTTCGATGTTACTTTGAGTTCTTTGAAAGATAGGTTGAGTCGTCGAACAACACACTACAGGCTACGAGGTATGTTGGTAGCCTTTCAAGCATGGATCTACGAAACCTTCCCTGGTCTAGATGAAGTTATTGTCACGAAGATATCAACAACGCACCCCCAAATCAAAAACTGGTTTGCAAACGAGCAACCATCTGCTTCTAAGTTAGAGGAGCCTGATTGCTTCAAGAAGCCTAATATAATGGTCCAGTAATTCTTTTTGTCTGATAGTTGAATATATGAAAAACTATTGTTTTCTAATCTCTACTGGAATGCAGATGCAGATCTGTAACCTGGTACCAAGTGAAGCGGAAATGGCGATACCATATATAGATGGGGTGTAGTATAACAAAACAAATCAATCGGAGTTTTCCTGTGGCAGCTATCGAAGGAAAAACAGGAAGCGAAAGTCTGCTAACCCTGCTAGCATGAGTGGAGAATCTGTGCCTTTGGTAACGGACATTGGCGTTGGACCTGCTCATGTTGCAGATGGCGACGATGCTTTCATGGATCCTCCACGACGATGTGAGGTGACATCACATCAGGAAACATCCAATGCTGCTGAAGGCCCTTCGGCCCCCCAACATTCACCAAATGAACCACACTATCATGGGACGGAACGGAGTGATTAGACAAAAAAGATTAATGAAATCATGAAGATGCAAGAACAGATAAAATGTGACATGACGGAAATTAGGACGAATATGCAATTCTTGTCCGAGTCTGTGACTGCAATGATATCAAGTACTATGGATGAGATTTTAAGGCTTTTCAACGATAGGAAAGGTCGTCATGTTAAAGAGTTTGGAGATACGGAAGCTGCTGTAGTTGGAGGTGAAGAAAGTCATGTTGTCGAAGAAGTTCACAAGATTGATGAGGTAGATAAACAATATATTCAATCCATCCTTCACTGACCGTATTTACATTTTTTCACATGTCATATTCTCCAATTTCACGTGCAGGTGGGAAATCAGGAACCTGTTGTTGACAGGAAAGGGAAGGGGAAGGTCGACCCAACTGATGATGCTACTTTTGAATGTAGTCTTCAACCGCCATCATTTGACTTGGGTTTTGGATACACACAATTGGATGTTTCTCACTCTGCAGAAATTCAAAAGCGGGTAGATGCTGTCATATCTGATGTGGTCACAGCATCTGCAAATGTTGAGGAAGAGGTATTCCCATTTTGTTCTTTGTGCTGCATGCTGGTTACTGAATGTATAGGTCACGAACGGTACACGTTTCGAAATACACAGATCACACGCATCCATGAATTCATGTTACATTCATTCTGCATAAACTAACATTTTATCTTTTTCAATACACAGGAATCTCCAACTTCTGAACCACCTTCTGAATTACCAATGAAGCGGGTGTCAAGGCCAGCGAGGATTTTGTGTTCTCCATTTGTTGCGGGTACAGGAAAGTTATTCCGGCATGACGACAACATTATTGTATTTGGAAGTTACAAAGACAATGTTGAAGAAGGTGATAAGTCGACATTCTTGGGTTGGTTCCAGAGAGGGTACAAGCCCAAAAAAAGGCACGAATATTTTCTTCCCTTTCTTCAATCTATTGCTCATATGGTCACAATAAATTGTTCTTACATTTCTTGTTTCAGGAAAAAGTTTAATGAGCATGATGACTTAATCAAACCAGCTTTTGTTATTGGCTCATATCCAGTCGGTAACAAAACATGGTTCCACCAACTCGTAGACCCTGAGACGTCTTTGAATAGCGGGGTATGGTAACATTCATGTATTTGTTCACCGTACAATTACTTGTTAACAAATGAGACCACGTTACGACTCTGCTACCACATCATGCACGAAGTACTATGCGGTTCACTGACATAGTGGTCTCATAAGTATATGTTTTGTTCAACAAGTCACATACCAACTTGGTCACAAGTCACAGAATCACAACTTTATGAAATTTTCTGATGTTGCTCTTATTTCTTATCTTCTTGATCACATAGCACATGGATGCATGCTTCTACTACATTCGGCAGCTAGCAAAATTTGGGAAAGTACAGTACAGAGCTACAACAACAAACTCCTCTTTCCAGAACATGATAAAAGACATATACCCCGCTTTCAAAAAAGATCCTGATGTTCTGTTGTCAGGAAGCCGGTTGTTCCAGGTGGTCACAGGTGATAGCACAACTATGAGAACACCTTGGGCTGATGTAGACTATATGTTCATGCCTCTCCTGCCCACGAATAAAGCTCACTGGTTGCTAGGTCTGCTAGAATTCAGAAGCCACAGATTGATCGTGTTCAATTCAGCTAGTAAAACTTACCATGACTGGAAGGTGCTAAAAGGTGTTAAGCCTTATGTGAAGATATTGCCTGCTCTTATGAATGCATTGGGAATTTCGAAAAAAGACCCTGACTATAATGGATCTGAGTGCATGGAATTGAAGGTGACCGTTGACACTGCCATACCCCAACAGATGAATGGGTGAGTATTTGACCAATACTACATACATAACATATTTTAATATTATTTCATAACATATTGTTTTGTGTTATTCCACAGTCATGATTGTGGGGTGTTCGTCATATTATATGCGTTATATATCCTTCGAGATGGCAGATCTTCTATACCATAGAAATTTGATGTCGCCAAGTGTAGACTTGATATTGCATCGCTACTCTACAAACACCGGGAGACCTATGTGAAGAATCCGAGGTAGGCCACAAAAGGAGAGGGCTTGTCATTGAATGAGGATTGTCACAAAAGTTTTTGTAAACGAATTTTATGCTCGAATATGTAGTCTTTTATAAATCAATGGGGGTGATTGATTTGAATATTGTCCTATTGATGTAAACTCATTTTTTGCATTCCATGAGTGCCACTACTTTTAGTATGTAATGAACCGTTGTTTAGACACATAGTAGTGTGACTAGTCATCGATTTCGTTTGCATGTTCACATATCTTATGAATATCATGTCACATATTCACATTGCGACACAAAACATATTAATAACAGGTCACAGATTGCATTGTTCAATAAAGGCACAGGTCACAGTTTATATTTTTTTACTGACGGGTTGGTCACATATTTAATTTCCCGCACGGAACGTATGAATATTATGTCACAGATTACTGTGTTCACTACATATTTTGTTCTGTGACCTGTTTACAAATAGTTCAAGATTTTATAAATTTTGTTTGTAATGCTGTACGTTAACATCAGTCACATGTCTTATGATTCTGAGGTCACATTTCATGTTCTGCAGCATTGAAAACATATTAATAACAGGTCACAGATTACATTGTTCAATAAAGGCACAGGTCACAGTTTATGTTTTTCTACCGACGAGTTGGTCACATATTTAATTTTCCGCATAGGACGTATGAATATCAGGTTACAGATTACTGTGCTCACTACATATTTTGTTCTGCGACCTGTTTACAAATAGTTCAAGATTTTATTCTGAGCAAATTTTGTTTGTAATGCTGCACGTTAACATCAGTCACATGTCTTATGATTTTGAGGTCACATTTCATGTTCTGTAGCACTGAAAATATATTAATAACAGGTCACAGATTACATTGTTCAATAAAGGCACAGGTCACAGTTTATGTTTTTCTACTGACGGGTTGGTCACATATTTAATTTCCCGCACAGGACGTATGAATATCAGGTCACAGATTACTGTGCTCACTACATATTTTGTTCTGCGACCTGTTTACAAATAGTTCAAGATTTTATTCTGAGCAAATTTTATTCTGAGGTCACATTTCACGTTCTGTAGCACTAAAAACATGAATGTCAGGTCACATATGACAATGTTCAGTAGAAACACAAGTCACCATTTTGTGACCTGCACCAACAATTGAAGATTTTGTAGTGATCTTGTGGTCACATGTTATTTCCTAATTTATTTTTCGTTTGATACACGATAATGCGATTGGTCACAGTTGTAGTTCGTAATAGCAATATCACGTCATATGATTATGAGGTCACATATGTGATTATGAGGTCACATGTTTACATATGATTATGAAGTCACATATGTGATTATGAGGTCACATATGTGATTACGAAGTCACATGTTTACAGATGACAATGTTCGGTAGAAACACAAATCACCATTCTGTGACCTAGAACTAACAATTGAAGATTTTGTAGTGATCTTATGGTCACATGTAATCTCCTAATTTATTAATCTTTTGGTACACAATAATGCGATTGGTCACAGTTGTAGTTCGTAATAGCAGTCACACGTCGTATGATTATGAGGTCACATATCATGTGAAAGACATTTGGTCATAAGTGATGTCAATGCTGTTATTCCAGTAATGTTTCAAATTCAAGAATATGACATATGGTCACAATTGAATAATGTTTCTTATTCAAGAATGAAAACTTTGGTGTTTTTATCAGGTATTGGTCCTTACTATGAGCTGTCTTTTTCAAACGGTGTTACTCTGTCGAACGCTCTTGTTTAATGGAAGAAAATTTGAGCATCTCCTGCGGTTGTGTCCATGTTCACCACACCGTCCACATCTTACTTTCGGTTTGCCTTCCCTAGATGATCTCTTCCTCTTCTCTGTAGGTCTTCCACAACTTCGTTTTTGGTCAGGAGGTAACACAATTTGGTTTTGTACTTCGTTAGCAACTGTCCATTCGTCTGGATTTCCAATAGGATATACTGAATGTTCATAAGCTTTTAAAAATGCATCCTTTGTGTAATAATATGAACAGTAAGCATACGGATCCCTTTTTGTATGCGCAATTACAGCCAATGCATGTGGACAGGGCATCAGATCGACTTGCATCATCCGACACGTGCATGTACGTTCCTCAATATCAACAACAAAGGTGGACCTGTCATTGCTGATGACGGAAAAAATTGTCTGGTTGGAAGCAGATACCTGCAAGAATGTAGTGTTGTAATACCAATTGTATTTTGTCAGTTTCAAAAAGATCAGTTCTGGTCACAGACATGCAAATTTCAGTGTACATTACTCAAATCGGGTCACATGCAGTCATACTTTATTTTGGATATCATGGATTCGAGTCACAGATGTAAACTTCAAATCACTCAGCGTTGCAAATGTAAATTTCAAGAGAGATGAATTTAATACTGGGTCACATGCATTTATAGTTAGAACACAATCACAACTGTTCATTCCAGGTCGGATGCAATTATGGTCAGGTCACATGTATCTTCATTTAGTACACATACACAAACATCAGGATAAAGATAAGATACCTACCCTTAAGTTCCTTAATTCTGAACTCATTTTTCTTACACTGTTCTCAAACTTGCTTGTCAACATTGTGAAAGTTCCATGCGCCTCGTCTCTATGTTTACAGAACCAAGTTTGCACTGTTTGTCGTAAAGACTCTAGCAACGACACAATGGGGTAATTCTTAGCTACCTTTGTGACTGCATTAACTGATTCTACAATGTTTGATGTCATTGTGGAAAATCTGTTCACTGGCATATGAATTCTCGACCACTTTTCAGGGCCGACTTCAGCCTGCAAACATGTATCATACATATGAGTTCCATATACAATGACATATGTGACCAATTTAGTGTGCGTGATATCTATTTTTGGAAAGCAATACATTACCAGGTATCCAGTAATATTCTCATTCATTGTGTGTAGTCGATGCATGTTGTATTCAAATTCCCCCAATGTGTAAGCGCGGACAGCCGAGTTGAAAGCTTGTGTAATATTTTCTCCTGATTTTCCATAATAATGTTTCAGGTTCTGTAGCAAATGACACGAGCAAATACCATGACAGGCTCCTGGATACACATGTTCTATTGCTTTCTTTATACTGCCATGACGGTCTGATGCAAAACATAGTCCTTCTCTATATCCATAAGCCTCTTTCTGTTTTTCCAAAAACCATCTCCAAGAGTTATCGTTCTCATTATCCCCAACACCAAAAGCAAGAACAAATATGCTATTGTTTACGTCCTGTGTACATGCTGTGAAGAGTGTGCCCCCGTAATGACCATTTAAGTATGTACCGTCGACTACAATTACAGGCCTACAATGTGGCCACCCACGTATTGAAGCACCGAGTGCCATAAAACAATACTTGAACCTGTTGTGACTATCAATCTCTAGATATGTGACCGTACCTGGATTCTTTTGTTGGAGCATGTAGAAGAAACTTGGTATCCTACTGAATGATTCGGTTGGATCACCCCTAATCATCTTCAAGGTTTGTTCACGGCATCTCCAAGCTTTCGTATAGTTCAAATAAACTCCAAAAGTATGCAACATTTCACTGCATATATCCTTTGGTGTGTATATGGTGCTGGACGATGTGTACTTATACTTGATTCTAGATGAAACAACTGCAGTTGTGACTTGTCTATGTGACCCCAACACTACATTTGATGCACATGTGTGACTACCAATCTTTCGAATCTTAAATAGATCCGTTTTGTCCCATTTCGATGATCTGCATATCCAACTACATCCTTCCTGTGAACACCTCACAACATATTCTTTCTTGTCTGACCGCTCAACCATGAACTCAAACATATTCCTTATGGCAAACAAGGATAGGCTCAATTTTAAAATCTCCTTATCACGGAAAACCCTTCCTTCTTCGACCTCCCCAGCTTCTGCTACTGAAACAACTGTGACCTCGTTGTCGTAAATGTGACCTACATGTTCACTCGATGCTTTGCATATTTCAGCTGCCATATCCTGCAATGTATGAAGCTCGCTGCTATGGTAAGCAGTATATGGAGCCGTGTTAGATGGCTTCTCTATTGCTGCATCGGTAATATCGATGACTAATGGGTATTTAGCAGGTTCGCGATCGCCTTCCTTCAGCAGAATGCACGAGAGGACGTTACCGTCATTTTTTATCTTGATTGGAGGAAAATTGTCATTCAGGACATACTTCAGTGACACTGCCACCTTCGTAGGATCCAAGCTGAACTCTGACATGATTGTGTCAACAAGGTTTACGTATCCGCAACCACGGTCTACCAATGCCAACGCTGACTGAGATCCATATAGCAAACATACGTACACGTACACCATTTATACAAAAATTGAATTTCATGTAGCTGATTTATTGTAATACAATGCATATAGTTCAAACATGAATGACTGTAATGACATGGAAGTCACATTTGTGAACAAGTCATATATGAGACTAAAGATGCAATAAAATGGAGGTCATATATGTTGGATGGCAACCACTGTTTCATGTGGTTACATTCCTGCCAGATATATGAGAAGGTACGCTAAATATTTGACCCGATATTTCATAGGATATGTGAACTTCTGCTCATATGTGGCATTGTTAACTAAATCGCCGAGCAGTCGCATTACTATGTATCCAAACGAAAATACATTATCTTACTGTAGGTGAAACGGAGGTCACATACGTGGATGGCAACCACTGTTTCATGTAGTTACATTTCGGTCACATTTATGAGAAGGTCACATATGACAGGAATCAATGTCAAGATGCGTGGTGCAATAGACACATGCTTTCATTACATTGGTCACATTTGTTGTCAGTGTGCATAATGGAATAAATTGCATGCCACATTTTTTTCGCATAGTTTACATTTCATGCTCGAAAACGAAGCCTCTACACCTACCTATTCCAG